TGCTATTTGGTCTAGAGTGGACAATAGCATAATGGTCACTACCTGATCCCATGGAGCGGGAAATAGAATTCAGTGTTGAACCTCCTGATATGTATGGCTTATTAAGTGAGTTTCGAGATCCATAGTGTGAGCTAGGAGCCCACCCTACTCTATAGGGGTCATAATCCTCCATCTCAGATGGTTCCTTGTCCACAACCTGAAGCAAAAAATATAAAAACTTATTATCCTATGTATAGAGTAAAACTTAATATTAAAAGTTTGAGTATATAATAAATCAATTTTCTTGTAGCATCACAAGATACATTAAAACAAGTTTCACTCTCATGTTTTCTTCGTATTAGAAGCTTTATTTCAAAACTGTAGCTACGTATTGCTAGTTCATGAAACAGTAGAGAGGTATTTTAGTAACGTCACACAACTAACATCAACTTGATCTAGTTTCTAATAATACAAGTTTATACTATCATGTTTAAATGAACAAACAGAAGAAATAAAATTTCACAATATACATCACGAGAAAAATAGTTGAATCAGGAAAAGTTTACAATGATATTCTTAAATAATACTTCAACCTAACCCTGAGTATTTAAAACCAGACAAAAATAGTGGCTTTACTTTCAACAAGACATTTATCAATATTTCTTTGGATACTGTAACAACTTTCAAGTTTAAGATTATATCATGTGGGAAAAACTACTCATTAAGAGCTGTTTTAGCTTAAAATCGGCACCTGAAAAACGTTGAGTATTTCTGTGAACATCACAGTTTGTCAATTTTCCCTAGCCAGGACTGTATTAATTTTCAAAACTGTTTAGATTCATCCATCTTGAGATTTCTAAATACTATTTTAATATGACAAAATATTTTTGCTATAAGACTACCGCCAGAGGGCCCTAGACAATAGAACTAGTTTTGTATTTTCAATCAAATGCAGTAAGAGTATATTTTGGAAGGAGGATGAATTCTTACAACTTTACATACCCAACTTAAACGTACATGTTAGTTTCTTTTTTAACTTAATGATAATTTTAGCACCACAGATTCTGAAATAAAATAAATATCTTTACTAATTAAAATATATCGGTAAATTGGTGAGTCATTAACTCTGAGACTCACCTCTGTTTTTGTGCAAGTACAGGTTAGCGACGAACACAAGAAAATGTTAACTATAAGCATCACTAGAAGTAGGATAGCTAAACAAATACATAATCCAATTAGCCATGGGAACCGCCATTCTGTGCAATCAGTTACCGCCAGTTCATCTAGAGGTAAGAAAATCAAAATCAAATATTCAGTTAATATATAGTTTATTTTTTTACGCAGTGGAACTTGTTCACAGGCTTAGCTCAGAGTGATAATACGGACAATTTATCTGAAAATACACCATATGAAGGACACAGTGTGTTTAATATACACTCTACTGCATCTATATAAATACAATAGTACTGTCTGTTGTGTGTTATCTATATAAATATAACAGTACTGTTTGTTGTGTGTTATCTATATAAATATAACAGTACTGTCTGTTTTTTGTTATCTATATAAATACAATAGTACTGTCTGTTGTATGTATCTATACAAATATAATAGTACTGTCTGTTGTATGTATCTATATAAATATAACAGTACGGTCTGTTGTGTGTTATCTATATAAATACAATAGTACTGTC